CCAACCCCCCCCCCTCCCCGACTCACGCCCTTCCCCCCCCCTGCCCAACTCAGCCCCCCTTAATTCTTCTTCCCCATTTGGCGTAGCTCGTTATTTCGGCAAGTCGTTCCGACCGCCGGAAATTTACAGTGCTTCACGAATATACAACCCGGTCAAGGTGGACACCTTCTGCCTGGGCTGGATGTTGTTCTTTACTGTGACGAAGCGGCAACCCTTCGACCGTGCGGTTGACTCGGACCCGCACTGGCCACTGGTGAGACAGGGTCGTATGGCAGAGCTGCTAAAAGTCAAAGGCGGCCACGTCCTATCCCATGACCTTATCGACCTTCTCACTCGAATGCTCTGCCCCGACTACCGGATCAGGCCCACGCCTCAAGAATGCGTCCAGCACAGATGGTTCGCAACACCCAATACAGACACACCCATCACAGATCACACCGTCCGTGGAGGCTAGCTTTTTGCCACAGCAAACAATAAGGCCCACGGATGCCCCGTCATGCCAAACAAGCCGACCCAACCGGACCACCCAACCGGACCACCGAACCAACTCCCTGTCCTGCCCGACCTCCCCACGAGGCGGTCCTGTCCCCCGAAGGCGCACGCTAGTGTATTGTCGTTAAATGGGGTGGTGAAAATTCGGCGTAGTCTGGGTCCGTTCCGGGCGCCTCGTGAATCCCGAGTTTAGGAGCGGTCGACGATGCGTTGTTCGAAGTTGGGAAGATCGTGTGGCTCGTCCTGTGTGTTGAGTGCAGCTTTGGCTGTGGACTGTACGGCTTCTTTGGCTGAGTTGAGTACGCTTTGCGCTTTTTCTTGTCCTTGTGCGAGTGCGCCCTTTGCGTTGTGCAGCAGTCCTGCGAAGGTGTTCTTGTCTGTGGCGGCGTGTACTCCCTGAGCAAGTTTACGTTCAGCTGGTGCTGCCAAGTGTTGTGCCTCACGGGCAGCCCCCTGGGCAGCATGTCGTGCATCCGTGGCCAAGTGTTGGGCTGCCTTGGCACCGTCCCGTAGCACAGCTTTAGCGTCATGGAGCAGTCCGCCCTTGGCGTACGAGTCATGTGTGTTTTTCCACAACTCTTTGGCACCAAATTGGATGTCCTGTGCCGCGTCCGCTCCCGTTGATTCCGCCTTCCGTGCTGCTACACCCAGTCCCTTAGCACCCGCCTCCGCCGCGTGCTTCAATCCCGACATTACCGACTGCGCCAACGACGGCCCCGCAGGCGACGCCGCGACGTGCACACTCTCCTTCACTCCCGCCGGCACACCAAGTGTGGTCTCAGCGCCAGCCGAATGCTCAGCACCAGCCGAATGCTCGCCACCCATCAACTTCCGCGCCGCATCCATCACTCCCTTCGCCTGACGCGACACACTCTCTGCCGCCGACTCTTGCGCTTGTCGCAAACTCTCCATCGTTCAGCCCCACACACACCAACGTGCATACATTCTGAAGTCTCATAATATTCCTTTGGGCATCATGTACGTACTAAGGGCTCGGGACAAAGGCTCGAGAGACAGAGGCTCGGGACAAAGGCTCGGGACAGAGGCTCGAGACAGGATCTGTTCGACCAATCGACCCAATACTAGCCGTGGTTTCCGATTGATTACATTTACTCCGGATCCTGCGCAGTCTCCTTCGCCGCCGCCACCGGGTCCGTCAGACGGCGCGTCAGGTCCGCCATGCGTGCCATTGTCTCGTTCACCCCGCCGAGCCATGCTCTTCCCAATGGCCTCTTGGCCCTGCTTTGCGCTCTTCATCGTGCCTGCTTTCTTGTGCCCCACACACTCCAACATGTTCCAGAGACCCCCCACGTAAATACCGCTACACGTAAGTACCCCCAACTCACGTAGGTACCGCTGCCCGTAAGTAGCGTCAAGCCCTGCCGTCATCTGGCCGACTAAACTCTCTGTAAGCGCCACATCCGGACTGTGCTCCGTGCGGCCCCATTAACGCCGATCTAGTCGTTCCCAGCTGAGCCGTCGCCAACTAAGGCGTCTGGCTGGGCCGTCCAGCCAAGGTGATATTAGGCTTCTCTTTTTTGATGATTCCTCGAAGACCCCCACCTCCGCCTGATGACGGAGATGAGATGATGCTGGTTTCCCCACCCGGTCAACAAGAGGACGAGATAAAGATCCGTGTTCTTGGGGTCAACGACCAAGGAAGTCTGGTGGTGCAAGAAGTGAGTCATTCCGAGTGCCATGACATCTTTCCTTTAGAAAGATGTTAACGAGTACGCCAGCGCCCTGGAGGACATTGTCACGGGCACCCTTCAGATGGACGTCCCCAGTAAGTATAGACATCGAAGTCGAGAGCGAGGAAAAGGGAGAAGGGGCTGCATGGATGGTTCTCTTTTAGATTTAGAGGAACTGATACTGGCTATGGTGCGGTGGTACGAGCATGAAGAACGGCCCAAGATCAGTGGGTTGGAAAAGACCGAAGACGTGCAGAACCGGCTAAGAGAAGAGCTTCGCAACTGCCACGCCCAGTTAGAGGAATTATCGGGGCAGGATGCGGCCAATCAAGAGATCGAAAAGATCCGAAAGGAAAATGATGACGTAAGAACCGTAGTCTGGGGTTAAGCAAATGTCTGAGGGAGAGTCATAAAAACTTGTGCAGTTGCGAGCGGCGTTCGACATGTTGGAGGGCGACCTAGATGAGAAGATAAAGGAGAATGTGAGGCTGTTGGAGATCATAAAAGAGCAAAAGGAGAAGTTGGCTAAGGCGGAGAAAGATGTAACCCGGGAGAGGGAGACGGCCCGTGAGAAGGAGGCGGCACGAGAGAAGGAGGCGGCACGAGAGAAGGAGGCGGCACGAGAGAAGGAGGCGGCTCGGGAGAAGGAGGCCGTGCCCAAACCGAGTTCTCGGTTTGGTTGGGAGAGCCTAAGAGATTACAGCACGACGTGGGAGGAGGAGGGTCAGTTGGTGGACAAGATGGTGCGTGAAGACATAAGTTGGGTGTCGGAGGGTAAGGAGGCGGCAGTGGGTTGGACGGAGTTGTTCCAGAGGACGGTGAACGGTGAGACAAAGGCGGCGGCGTTAGAGGAGGTTTTGGTGCAGGATCAGCAATTGCTCCATAGTCGTTTCGGTGTACTACATATTGCGGCCTTGTCGGGGAACAACGACTTGGTCGCATATTGGTTGAATGAAGGTGTGAGCCCTACCTCTACGGACGGCCGCGGGAACAACGTGCTCATGCTCTCCCTTATGGCCCCGGTTTTTCGGGAATCGGGTCTCGGATTTGTCCAGGGGGAAGAACTCGGCGTTGTGCAGACCGTTATGGACTGGCTTGTGGGAATGAACGGCGACCCGAGCACTGATCCTGGCACCGCCCGAAGCGGCGACGGTGTGAACCGGAGCGGTGACGGTCTCAGCCGTGAAGGGAAGCACGCGGCTGCTACGGGGCGGTCTGTATCTGCTGGAAATCGCTTTGCCGCAGCGACCAAGTTGCTGCTAGCTCCGAATAAAAGCGGACTCAAACTATACGGCACGCCACTGGAACGGTATCTGATCGAGGCCCTGGAGACGTTGTCTGCGCACCGGTCGTTGTCGTCTTTGCAGAATGACGCGGAAATGTGTTTGTTCGAAAAATACTTTAAGATCTTAAAACGTTACAACGTCAAACTACGTTACCATAATAGCGCACCACTGTTGATTGAGATGATTGATCAGAACAAAAATAATACCATTACTTATAATCCGATCAATCCCAAATATCGGTTTGGTGATGAGACGATCCAGTATTATGATATGCTGGGGTGCGACCAACTTGGCTACAGCCAACTCGCTTCTTACCTGGCTCCGCCTCCCCCCGGCAGTGGTAGCTCCTCACCCGCTAAGACACCCAGCAGCTCCTCCACTCCCAACCGCGTCCCATCTGGCGATCAGTCGCCAACCGGTTTATTGGGAGACGTCCTTGGCGGCCTCACTGGCTCCCGTCGCCCCCTGGAGACCTCACCACTCATCTTCAGCTGCATCGTCACCCTCGTACAAGTCTCTCCCTGCATCGAAAAACAACAGGCCAACCTCTGCCTCTCAAAAGGCGTACTCTACCTTCACTCTGTACCCGCCATGAGTCCCCGAGCCTCGCTACCCAAGAACATACCCATCGCACAAATGACTAGATACCCCCTTGTTAACCTCACTCTCCTCCACGTCATGAGCGGCTACGAAGGACTCGTGCTTCTCAGATTCACCAACTACAACGACCTTGTCATAGAAACTAAATTCAAATCTCGTACGCTATACGCGCGACCACGACCCAGTTCTTTTCAGAATTCCTACTGGCAATCTGTATGAACTACTATCATTACGGCATGCCAGTTATTCCCGCTACGGCTTCGGCTCACGCCGACATAAACAGCAGCAAGTCCTGTCGTACGTACCACAACGCACACATCCTACAACCCACACACCCTACGCAGCACATACTGCACGGCACATACTGCACGACCTTCTAAGCCATACGCTTGTTCTTGTAGCCATACCTATCAATATCAATGTAAGCCGCCCGTCCTGGGTCTGTC